AGCGGTTCCTGCTCAGAGGCCTCCAGCACTTCTGTGAGCCATAAACCTGAGTCGTCCCCTCACTGCTTGACCACACGAGCCTCCATTTCCACCATCACCACAGATGACTCCATCCCCGCTTCGGCTTTGGACAAGAATGGGGACGTTCCACTCATCAGCACCAGTCAGAGCACATCTAGCCTGGGTACGACGGAGATGCCGTTTAGAACGATGGAAGGTACTTTGGTAAGGGGCGGCGGAGGCATACCTTTGACCGGGACGACACTTCTTTACCCAGAATCTGCTGGACTAATGGGCTTGTATGGGGTGGGTGGGCAGAACTATGTGCCACACATAGTGATGCCCCTCCCAGGAGGGGCGGGGCTGTATGAAAGAGGGTGGGGCTTGGGGAATGGGAAAGTTGGCCATGCGAACTCTGAAAAGGCTAACGCAGATTCATTGACAAACCGAATGGGTGATTTCCTACAACACCGTCTAGCCCTGGTGACCTTTGACCCCATGCAGCCGCCATATGACTCGCTGCAGACATACGAATTGGAGGGGGGCGGCTCACAGGCCACGTCTCTCAGCTCGCTCGAAAGCGAGGCCGAAAAAGATACAGAGGGACAGAAACACCGATTTGAGGAGTGGGGACCCAAGTTTGACGGGTTGCTTGATATTTTCAGGGAACGAGCAAAAGAAAAAGAGGATAATGAAAAACACCATGGTGAGCGGTTAAAAGAAGAACACCAGGAAGAGGAAATGAACAAGACAGAAGACGAGAGTGAGACAGAAATGAGAACCGATTTGAACGAGACACGGCGGGCCGAGGAGGAAAACACAGAAGAATTGGAAGCAATGCACTAAAGAGGAAATGGAAGCAAAGAGGGAGGATGTGATGTCACATCGTGAGCTTTCAAAAGCAATACGTGCTGAAAGGAGCCAATGAGCACAATCTGGACAAAGAGAATTTTATATGGACCTGCCAAAAACCAGTATGTCAGTGTTTTAGAGGAACAGAGAGTCTTATGTAAGTTACTCGCATTCATTTAACGTCCAGCCACACACACAGTGCTTACGTAGTAAAATACAAACGTCATCTTTATCTAAATCTTTTACATATTTCCAGGTTTCAATCTCAGATTTTCAATGTGGTCTCCGACTTTTATACACAGCATTCACATACATTTTTTTGGTGATCAGATCACCGGTTTTTATGGTCTCACGATGTGAAAAAGACATCTTGCTTGATTTAATCAACAGTATCTGATTATTTATCACATGATTTCACCAGTGTATAATTTTAGTAATGTTTATATAATTTAATGTTAATTTAATTTAATTATATATAATTTAAATTAATAAATA